TAAACCAATAGCTAATATGGATGTAGTTCATAAATAATGTAAACATTTAACCATGTAAAATTCTAACATCTGATTTTCATGACTAAAGACCAATCAGTAAATGTTTTACAGAGGCTAGTATAGATTTTCTGTTTTTCTTAGCTGTTTAAGGGGCCAGATAAGTTGCTGTATATAACCACCAGGATTTTATAACTAAAGGGTAGAATTCCTCATTATTCATCTCATTACTATCAACTATTGTTATTTTATATGTCAGATGGTTGCCTTGTTCTGCACTAGCCATTATCAAATCAATATTTGGCTTGCTGACCAAAATTCAAGTCTCCTTGATATTTATCGTTTTGATCTGTTTGTTGATAGTATGAGACACAACAACAGAGTGAGCAATCTCCACTGCTTGAGAGGACTAAAGTATGTTTTACTTTGCTTTCCCAGTCCAATCAAAGTAAGTTTGAGTTGAAGTAATCAAACTGACTGTGATAATATGTAGTACAAACAATTTGACAATTCTTTATCTTAAGTCAAAATTTAAAACATCTGAGGTCTATATGACCTAGAGTACATTTTATCAGTGTACATGGACTGAGTGCAAATAGGCTCAGCAGATGAGGCAGTCACAGTCAAACATTTCTGTTAACTTGTTTGCTATTTCCTCTGTTGATGGGTATGTTGCTCATCGGGAATTTACTGCCTTTTTAATTATGTCACTGAAGGAAGGCAGGCATACATCACTTCATAAATTTATCTGTTGCATTAATGCTCCAAAAGAGGATACTTCTTCCTGTAATAAACTTATAGATATGTTGACGATATTTACCTCCAGACAACCAATGAAGAAACAGCAGATCACTTCCACCATGTAATGAACAATGTACACCCTAATCTGAAATTTGAAATTGAAAAACCAGAAACAACACCCAGTGGCATGTCACTATCATTACTCGATTTCAAAGTCACCATATCCAAGGATGGCAACAGTTCCTTCGAATTCTACAAAAAACCAGCCAAGAAACCACTATCCGTTCACTACCAATCAGCTATCCCCCCCAAATCCAAACTCAACTTCATCCGCAACGAGAGAAAACGCATTGAAGAGATGCTCCTCACATATATCTGCAACACAACACCTAAACTCATTCGACTACATCATTCACCTCAACGGTTACCCAGAGAGCAACATAGAACAATCAAAACGCCCACAGCACCCCCAAAGAAACTCTCAACCTGCAAACACAGAATGGTCGTACCTCAAGATCCTATACATTTCTGAACGACTAAATCACAGGATCTCCAACATCTTTAAGAAAGAAAACATCCCGATACGCATTTCCCACAAATCTTTTACACTCAGACACGCCCTATCCCAAACCCCCAAAGTACGCGAATGCACCAGAGACAAGTGCCCCATATCTAACACCGGATTATGTTTACGACGAAATGTAGTATACCAGCTCACATGCAATAGCTGCAAACAACAATACATTGGTAGTACGACACGCTTCATCCACGACCGCGTAAGAGAACATCTCAAGAATGGAAACTCATCCGTGAAAAAATATATCTACTCATGCCAAAACAAAGACCATGAAAGCATTGATGTCAAGATCATTATGAATGAAAACGACCCCGCCGATGTACGCCTGTACAAAGCATTTTTTCATTACAAAGCACAAACCTACACTCAATTCCCGGGAAGAATGTAGTGAATTCGCAGACCTCCTATTTTAGCATCTCGTTTTCATGCTCTTTTACACCCTTTGTTTATACGCTCCATCATTAGAGCCTTTATTATTTTCCATTCACAGTTTATCTCTACAGCTTTCACACATAGTCACGCCTTTCACCACGCACTCTTTTTACGTATATATCTATATATATAAACAGAATAAAAAGGTAAACCAAACGAGGAGCTCCCAGTAGAAGGATCCAAGGAGGATACAGTGCTTCAATGAAAATATTAATTAAGTGTAAAACGATGAAACATGAAGCAACCTTCTAACTGTTCCAGCTTCAATGTGGCGACGTTTCAGCCTTTGGCCTTCTTCAGATGGAACTTACACACACATATATATATATTTTTATACAGCGCTCCCGGAATATTTTCTTATCCCTGATGATGCCACTGATCGGCGAAAGCTCGGATTTATAAACATTTTACTTTTTACAGCAGTGTAAGGCTTCATTCGATTAATTTGTATATATAATAACCATAGACGTAACGCAAACTAGCACCTCAAGTTTTGGTACGTGACACTGAATAATTGTCACGTTTTAATAGATTTTTAATCATTTACCATGAACTCCGCAAAAAATATTTCAAAAGTAATTTTATTAGCAAGAGTGATGATGATTTTAATTTGACAAAAGTGATTAGAATGACATTATGGATCCGCCATCTTGGACTTGGCTTAATTCTCGTTTTCATGTGCTGTTTTTGAAGAGGAGCGCACTCAGAGTTGTTACACTTAATCCGTGAAACACAAATAGTCACTATGTAATATTGCGTACTAATTACTGGCATTATATAATCTTTTATTTAAACTCTATGGATTATGTCAGCTATGTGTTACGATGTAGATGTCTGTATACCCATTGACACTTACGTGTAACACGTGCCGACGAAAAGTCAAAATTTTGGAGAAACCAAGAA